TAGGAAAGGGTTCACGGCTGCCAAGAGTTTACGGCCGTAAACTCTAGTTTGCGGCCGTAAACTCCTTGTGATGGAGTTTCCGGCTCGAATGCAACACGATGAACTTTAGTTAACACATCCTAACACACAATCCTTGAATGTACTAGGCTTAGAACACTCAAACAAACCCTTAACAATGCTAAAAGATAGCAGAAACAAGTCTGACTTTTGATTGAATTGAATGGCTTTACAAGATAGAAATTTCGGGTTGTCACACTTATGGTCTTGGATGACGATGATGATATGGTTGTTGATGACACTCTACCAAATTCTCTAGGAAATAACCCTCCTCCACCTCCACCTCCATCAACAAATCTTCTTCCACCACCTCCTCCACCATCTAATCATCCTCCTAAAACTCCTCCACCACCTCATAACTCTCCTCCCCAATCTGATGCTGCCAAAAAGGGGGAGAATAATCAAGGGGATCCTCAGCCAATGAAAATGCATGTGATGATTATACAAACTCCATCTCAACCTGAGATGACTGGAGGGGTTGAAGCTGAAGTTGATCCTCAAAAGCAAATTGCAGTTGCTAATATTCCAGACGTTTATGCTACAACTGATTAACCCATTCAAGACACTGCTGACCAATCAGAGACTGATGACTATAAAGGGTTCTTGATCTTGGTTTCATGCAACAAGTTGTTGTTCCTGATGTTACCTTAAACATTGTCTATCCTGGTTCTTGCTTTGAGGGGGAGATTTATCAAGAGGTTCCTCAAGGAACTGATAGTGACATTGACTCTGACAATAATCAGCTCAATCCTCGAAAGAGGAAGGCTTCCTTCTCAGGGGGAGCTTATGACGCTGAAGCTGGAAGCTCTTCTACTGTTGTTGGTGATCCTTCAGCATCTCCACCTAAAAAAAATGCAAACTCATCTTTGATCTAAATGAATTAGCAGAAACATGGAGGTTACCCATTGAGGAAGTTAGAGAAATAATGGTAGAATATAATGTTGTTATTCAACAATTTTTGGTCGATGCTTATACGATGATTGAAAGTGAGAGACTATATAACATACGCAACCAACAAAATGTTCTTCGATGCGAATCCTATGAAACTTTACACATCGTGAAAAACAATGGAAATACTGATATTTCCAATATCGGACAACGTGTGATATTGTTTTCTTCTTTTACTGGCGGTGCATGCTACATGATGCAGAACTATTTAGATGTCATGTCACTTTGTAAATGGTTTGGATATCGAGATTATTTCATAACTATAACATGCAATCCAAAGTGGCCCATAATTCAAAGGTTTATTGTTGAAACAAACCTCAAACCCGAAGACAAACATGATATCTTATCTAGGTTGTTCAAAATGAAGGTTGATTCGTTGATTAAAGACTTAAAGAAAAATTCGTTGTTGGGTTTGGTCCAAGAAGGTAATTTATATTAATAATGCTTTTTTAAAGTGTTTTTATATATTGTGTTAATATGTTTTTATTTACTTATTTCAATATCTTATAATACGTCTCTATGTAAATAAATTTTCAGTTATTTATACGGTGGATTTCAAAGTGCAACCTACCTCATGTCCATATATGTCTATTCATGCACTCTGATTACAAGCTCCCAACCGTTAAACATATTGATCGGGTTATTTCTGCTGAAATTCCAAACAAAGACGACGATCCAAAATTGTATGCACTTGTCAACGAGTTCATGATTCACGGTCCTTGTGGTAGTGATAATCCTAAATGCCCATGCATGATTGATAACAACTGTTCAAAAAACTTCTAGAAGACATTCACAGATTATACTTCGGTTGATTCAAATGGTTATCCTATATATAAGAGATGTAATGATGGATATTTTGTTAAAAAGTCGGGTGTTAAGTTAGAGAATAGAAGTGTGGTTTCATATCACAAACTCCTTTTGAAAAGATACTAGACTCATATTAATGTTGAGTGGCGCAATCAAGGTGCTTCCATCAAATATTTGTTTAAATATATTAACAAGGGTCTTGATAGGGCTATTGTTGCGGTTGTACAAAGAAACAACACAGATGATAATGATGATGCATTTGATGAAATAAAAAACTACTATGATTGTAGATATGTGTCTGCATGTGAAGCTTCGTGGCGTATATTCGGATTTGACGTTCATTTTAGGACTCCTTCTGTTGTGAGGTTTCTTTTCCATCTTCTCGGACAGCAAAATGTTGTATATGGTGTTGATGATGATAATGAAGATGTCCTCAATAAACAGTCAGTTTCTTTTTCGATGTTCTTATTTTGGATGGATTGTAATGAACATAATAAAGAAGCATGAAAACCTTCTTATGTTGAATTTCCTACCAAATTTGTTTGGAAATTGAAGGATCGTCATTGTAAGCCAAGAAAAAAAGGATTTTCTATCGGTCGAATTCACACTGTCTCTCCTAATCTCGGTGAAGCATATTTTTTTAGAATTCTTTTAAATAAAGTCAAAGGTCTGAAATGTTTTGCAGACATCAGCACGGTTAATGGATACGTATGTGCTACTTTTAGAGAGGCATGTTATGCTCTTGGACTTTTGGAAGATGATAGGAAATATATTGATGCAATTGAGGAAGCAAGGCATTCATGTGGTTCTGGATATTATTTGCGTTATCTATTTGCAACTATGCTAAAGTCTAATAGTTTGTCTAGACCGTGTTTTGTCTGGCAAAAAACTTGCCAATACTTATCAGATGAAATTCTCTACAATCAACAATTAAGATTAAAGTCACCATGTAATATGTTATTTTTCATTATTTAAATTAAGATTTTACTTAAAAATTCTTACATAATACATTGTAATTATTCAATAAAAATTATTATATTTTTTATATATTTAATAAAATTTTATTAAGCTTATTATTATCAGTACGTTTTAATTTTATATAGTTATCTCTAAAAAAGTAACTTGCAGATTTCTACAGGTTTATCGCTTTCTGAGGATCAAGTTAAGAACTTGACATTTTATGAGATTGAAAAATTTTGACTCCATAACAATTCAAGCCTCAAAGATTTTGATGGAATGCCTTACCCTAATCACGAGTTTGTATCTTCTTCAGATAATCGATTGATTACTGAGGAGCTAGATTTTGACAGGACGACTCTATTGAAAGAGTTTCATCAGCTACTTGGTTCATTAACAATTGATAAAGAGGTGTTTTTGACGATATTATTACAAATGTTAAGCAAAAGAAAGGAGGTGTTTTTTTTGTTTACAGTTACGGAGGTATCGGGAAAAACGTTTCTTTGGAAAACAGTATCTAGTGCTTTAAGATCGGAGGGTAAAATCGTGTTAAATGTTGCTTCAAGTGGTATTGCTTCATTATTATTGATAGGAGGTAGGACAGCACACTCCCTGTTTATAATCCCTTTAAATCTTACCGAGGATTCGTTTTGTTCTATAACGCCCAAAAGTGATGTTGTCGAACTGTTAAAAAAACATCATTGATTATATGGGACGAGGCACCCATGATTCACAAGCATGCCTTTGAGGCTTTGGATAGATCTTTGAAGGATATATTGAGTTGTGATTTTCGTAGCAACTCAAAATTGCCATTTGGAGTAAAAGTAATTGTTTTTGGAGGTGATTTCAGACAGATTCTACCTGATGTTCCTAACAGAAGTAGACAAGACATCGTGAATGATTCAATATCTTCCTCATATAGTTGGTCAAATTGCAAAGTCTTAAGATTAACAAAAAAAAACATGAGGTTAAGTCTTCAAACAATATTGAAGAACAACCACATTTGCAAAATGGCTTTTGGATATAGGAGAAGGAAAGGTTGGTTGTTTAAACAATGGCGAGGCAATTATTGATATACCAGATGATATTCTCATTACTGATTCATCGGATCCTATTGGTTCATTAATTGCATTTTGTCTATCCTTCTATTATTGAAAATGCCAATAATCCGATATTTTTTCTTGAAAGAGCAATCCTTGCACCGAAATATGAAGTAGTTCAAGACATAAACAATCGTTTGTTATCATTATTTCCTGGAGATGAAAAAGAATACTTAAGTTCAGATAGTCTTTGTCATTCGGATTTTGTACACGATGACTTTGACGAATCTTTATATTCGCCTGATATTCTAAATGGACTTAAACCTTCAGGTTTACCAATTCATAAATTGGTATTAAAAGTCAGTGTTCCAGTTATGTTATTGAGAAATATTAATCAGAAATACGGTTTGTGTAATGGAACAAGGCTACACGTTATAGCATTGGGTAACCATGTTATAGAAGGAGAGATAATTTCTAAAAGTAATATATGAAGTCGTATGTTTATTACAAAAATGCCACTAACCCTTTCGGATAAAATGATTCCTTTAACCTTTCAGAGAAGACAATTTCCACTTGTTGTATGTTTTGCGATGACAATAAACAAAAGTCAAAAACATTGGCTATCAAAAGTTGGTTTGTTTTTTAGACAACCAATGTTTACTTATGAGTTGTATTGTCCAGAATTAAAAGCAAAAATATATTGAAAATATTAATTTTAAACAATAAAAGTTACCTTAACAATAAAACATCTAATGTTGTATTCAAAGAAGTATTTTAACAATTTGTAATTTTTAACAATTATTTAAAATATATAATTACTAATTTTTAATAGTTTGGGTTCACTTACATACTTAATCAACAAAGTCTTTGCTTATATGTAAAAATATTACTTTAATAATTGCTTGATGTTTAGAATTTGATATTATTTTTATTTTTTTAATAAACTCATGTAATATATAGATATTTCACCTGACAAACTAAATAAATGCAATCAAGCACACATTGCATTCATCATTGTATATGTTTTACAATAACACATGGATATTCAAAATTAAACCTAGAAAGATATACTACTACTACTATTATAACGTGTCTTTACAATATATATATCTATATATATATATTATATATATATAATATATATATATATATATATATATATATAACACATCATAAAATTATTATAAGTTTGCAAATAGTGAAACAGAGTTTAATTAATCCTTTCCATGAACCACAAAACTCCCCGGATTTATCGTTATGCTCTTTGTGCAATTATCAGTTTTGTAAATCCCCACAAGTCGATCAGCCAACTCAAACATGTTATTTCTCAAACTACAAATTAATAAAAATAAAAATCCAAATCAATACAAATGAACATGTATTTATTAAAATAACAATAAAAAAAAGTATCATAATTACCTGATGATAACAAACTGTGCATCCTTGGTTCGATCCTTAACGTAATGCCCCACAATTGAAACATTCTTAAAATCTATCACCACAAATTAGAGTAAATTAAATATAAGTAATATAAAATAAAATAAATATAAATTCATTAAAATAATTAAAAATGACAGAAAAATATACCTAACGCAGCATCGATTTCATCCATAACATAAAGAGGGTTGGCTTGTAATGATGTAGTGCAAACACAAGAGCTAGTGAACTCAAAGTCTGTAAAGAATATTTTTATAACATGTCACAAAATATAATAATGAAAAAAGAATTTTTATAATATAGTATTTTACCTTTTCTCCCCCTGATAAATTAGCGATATTTTTCCAACTTTTTTTCGGAGGTCTAACACTAAACACAACACCTTCTGAGAAAGGATCTAAAGAATCCACTAATTCAAGCTCTGCATCACCTCCAAGAGTAATCATCTACAAAAAAAATTACAAAATTTTTATTATTTTAATTAAATATTGTGATTTGTATCTTTTTTTATATATTATATGTTTACAAACCTGATACATTTCCTTTAGTTTAAGTGAAATAGTGTTGAACCCTTCCATGAACTCATCTAACCTGAAAAAGACAGAAAGCAAATTGGCATTACTTAAAAAGGTTACACAGGGGTATTTTAGTAATTCCACTACAAAACTTATATACCTTTTCTTTCGCCATTCATCGTATTGTTTTTTTGTCTCATCGCGTTCGTTTGTTACTAAATTAAGCTCTTCGACTCGTTCATTGTATACAGATACTTTATTACGATATCTGTGAAATTAAAAAATTGAAATTAACGATTAAGAAAAATAAATTATTAATGAAATTAAAAAAACGGAATTTCTTACTCAGCAATGGAATCAAGATTAGGGTTCATCTCTTTCATTTGTGCTTCAAGTAATGCCACCATTTCTAAAGACTTTTTAAGGTCAGAGGCTTTGGCAAATGATTCGTTTTCTCCAAGTGTGGATTGAAGCTTTTCTGGATCGACTAAATCTTTTTTAATTCTGTTTAAAAAACAAAAAAGAAAAATATTAAAAGTTTTGTTTTTTGGAATAAGATGTTGAAAGATACTATAATATTGAAGTAAATATGAAACTCACTGTTCTATATGCTTTGAAAGAGAGGTGTGTAACTCCTCGAGCTTTTTCTTGTATCCTTTTTCTTTCATTTCCAATTCTTTTATCATTTTTTTCATGTCTTGTAATTTAAAATCAGCATCCACCTGTTTTTAGTCACATAGAGATAAATACAAGATCTTTCATATATTTGTTTATTATAATTTATAATTTATAGCTTTCTACTTCCATTCTTTCTAGGGTTAATATCATAAAAGACCTTATATTTTGTGTTTTTTCGGATTAAATCTCAAATTTGTTTTTTGTCTGAAAAAGACCTAGTATTTTTTTCATTGAGTAACTTACACAAATGGTCCTTATGGTTTGGGGTAATTTGCACGTTTGGTCCCTAACTTATTTTTTAACTCGAAAGGTCCCTACAATTTGTTTTTGTTGTGCGCTTGGTCCCTGTCTTACCTAAAAAGACTATTTTGCCATTGATTTTTTATTTATTTAAATAAGGTGGGGTAGGTAAGGTAAGGTGAGGTGGGGTTTGGGTTGGGGTGTGTTTATTTAAACAAATTAAAAAATCAAGGGCAAAATAGTTTTTTTAGGTAAGACAGGGACCAAGCGTGCAAGAAAAAAAACAGTAGGGACCTTCTGAGTTAAAAAAAATAAGTTAGGGACCAAACGTGCAAATTACCCCAAACCATAGGGACCATTCGTGTAATTTACTCTTTTTCATTTTTCCAAAAAAAAAACTCAACTTTGTATTTTTCTCCAAAAAAGAAAAAACCCTCAACCTTCTAAATGTTTCCGAATAAACCCTCAACTTTTTTAGTTTTTCTTGAATAAACACACATTTTACAATTTTTTTCTAAAAAAAATGACTAAAAGGGCTAGATCGGAAAAAATAAAAATAAAAATACAATGTCTTTTTCAGGCAAAAAATAGAATTGAGGTTTAATCTGGAAAAAACACAATTCAAGATCTTTTTTGAGATTAAACCCAAAAAAAATTGTAAAATGTGAGGGTTTTTTTGAGAAAAACTAAAAAAGTTGAGGGTTTATTCAGAAACATTTAGAAGGTTGAGAATTTTTTCGGAGAAAAATAGAAAGTTGATGGTTTTTTTGGAAAAAAATGAAAAAATAGTAGGTCTTTTCAGGAAAAAAAATTTGAGGTTTAATCCGGAAAAAAACACAAAATATAAGGTATTTATGTGATCTTTTTACTACAGTATTGTATTTTGTATGTTTTTTTTCTCATTAAGGAATTGCACTTTGAAAATTCTACCTAATGATAAATAGCATTGTACTTAAAATATTATAATAAAGACATTATACTTTGAAAAATCCATCTAGATATTTTTCAAAAGTACAACTCTTTAATAGCCTTAAATGCATTGTATTTATTTATTTCCCCAAAAGGGTATATATATATATATATATATATATATATAGAGAGAGAGAGAGAGAGAGTGTAAATAGTTAAAATACCTCAGATGCCCTCAACTCATCAACAGTCTTTTTCAGGTTTTCATAATCAGATTTTGCTTTTCCAAGTGAATCCTTGTGTTGTTCAATAAGCTACACAAAACAAAACTCAAAATTTTAATAAAAAAATGAACTCAAATGGTAAAGTTTTTTAAACGGCAGAAGTAAAAAGTAAAAACTGACCTCTTCTGTCTTCTTATAATCATCTTGAACCTTGAATGCTTTTTCTTCAATCTCTTTAAAAGAAGTCAATAAATTTTCCTTTTGTGCATTCAGTTTTTCTATCTCTTTCTCTGATTCCTTAATCCCATTTGTTAATTTTTTCATAAGTTTGTTCCCAGTTTCTATTTGAACTTTGTGTCGATTGATCTCTGTGCTGTTTTTATCAATGTCCTAACAAAAACAAGAACATCAGTGTGTACTTTAAAAAAATTGGATGAAGGGCAAAATAGTCTTTTAACTTGGACTTAACAAGAACAAAAAAAAAAAAAAAAACAAGTCAAACAGTTTATAATAAACTCATAACATAACATACTCTATTGTTTACAACCTCCTAAAATGTTTTATTCAAAAAAATTGGATGAAGGGCAAAATAGTCATTTAAATTGGACTTAACAAACCCTTTTTGTCAAAAGGATCGAAACCAAGGACCAAAAATGCAATGAAACTACAATTTACACAATAGAAAAAATCAAACTTCTGGATATGAAGACAGGGGCTAAATAGTCAATTTAATCTAACTTAACAACTTTTTAGCACCAACCAAGTGAGGGACCAAAAGTGCAATGAAACTAAACTACAGGGACTAACCATGAAAATATCAAAACATTTGGTTTAAATCCATAACTTCTCAAGAAGCACAAGAACAAAAGTTGTAATTGAGTCTTTTAATTATGACAAAATTGCAAAAATGGTCCCTATGGTTTGTTGAAAATTGTCACTTTGGTCCTAAAAGTTTTAGACTTGCACCACTGGTCCAAAAACTTTCATTTTGTTGCAATTTTGGTCCAAAACTTTTTATAATGACATTTTTGCCCTTTCTGTTTGTTTTATCCAAACAAACAGAAGAAAAAAAAAGTGTTGACTGGTCAACCAGACTCAACTTGTTTTGACATTTAAAAAATTACCATTTTGACCCTATACTTACATTTTGGATCTTGTTAACCTTTGCTTTCTGATTTTTCAAATTTTCACCCCCTGCATTCTCGATTTTGCCTTGAAGCTCCAACACCTAAAAAGATAATCAATCTTTATACAGTTAAACAAATATTATATAATAATTTGACAGAATGAGATATAATAAAATAGAAAAAAAAAATATTAAAATCCACCCTTCTCCTTCAACTGTTTGACCCTTTAGTCAACCTATTGATCTCTTTTTCTTCTTCTGCTATATTTTCTTGAGTTCTTCAAGTCTAGCAATTTCAGCCTTACTTGGTTCGCTGCATTTCTTTAGGGAATCAAGTTGATTTGCAAGATATTCATGTTGTGAATTCAAACTCTCAATCTGTTTTCATTAAAATATATAAACAATTATATAAATCAGAAAGTCAAAAAATAGCATGATTATTATCACAAAATAATGTCATTTGGTGGAAATAATGTCATTTGGAAAAGAAGAGTGTAAAGAAATTTAAAAAATTGGAAAAAAAAAAAATCATATTTCTAAGTATTACAAACAAACTTGTTTGTATTTTGCGAAAATCATGTCATTTTGCCTAAAAAAAATGTGAAATCACATGATCAGTTCGTAACATATGAACAATTTTTGCAAATAACTGTGAAAATATGATTTTTTTCTCAATAAAAAAAATAACATCATTTTAGGTGTTTTTATTGAAAAATATATCTTTTAATTAACATCTTTTAAGGTGTCTTGATGCTTGCAGGAAAATAAATAAATAAATAATTGCTATATGACATCATCAGTTAGTAACGTATGAACAGGTTTGCCAATAATTGTGAAATAGGATTTTTTTTTCCTCAATAAAATAATAATATCATTTTAAAATGCTCTTTGACTGAAAATATATATTTTTTAAGGTTCTTGTTAAATATTTGACATTATCACTTTGAAGAAACTTCATCAAAAATATAAAACTATATACAAACAAAGACCATGAAATCTTAAAAATAGAATTCTAATAATACATAAACTACAAATCCACATGTTGCAAAATTGATGGCCATTTTCTTAAAAAAAATCAAAAAAGTGGTCTATTTGTTAATGAGCTCATCCAATGTTATAAGGTCTTGTTAATTATTGACATAATCACTTTGAAAACTGTGTCAAAAATACAAAACTTATAAAAAATTAAAGACCATAAAATATAAAAAAAAGAGAATTATAATAATACCAAAACTACAATCCACATGTTGCAAACTTGATGGCCATTTCTTTAAAAAAAAAATCAAAAAGGTGGTCAATTTGCTAATGGGACCCACCATTTTGGTATTTTTTGTGATTATCCAAAAAGAAAATATATGAATATTGTTTAATAATGATTTTTTTACCTCTTTTTGGCTTTGGCTAACTCCATTTCTAAACGTGTGGCTTGTTTTTCCAAATCTTTGTATTCTTTGACAACTTGAGAAATTTGTTGTCTTATGTTTTTTAATTTTTCTGATATTTGATTGAGTTCATTTTCAGCTTCAGTAAAGGATTCACCAGAGACACTGGTGGCTCTGATGGAAGTTCCCATTTTACCCCCGCGTGGTTTGTTTCCACCCCCACTCATTGTCCCTGATTTCTCAAACAGAGCTCCATCCAGTGTCACAACTCGCCGGAATTCTGATTCCCTCCGTTGCAATTCGTGTTGCCTAAAAAACAACATTGGAATGGAATCACAAATGAATGGAATGGAATGAATTACAAATGAATGGAATGGAATCACAAAAGAAACAGAAACTTTAGTTATACAAAACTAGTTTGATCAACGGATTTCATGTCATTTGAAATGTATATACTAAAAGTTTGCTAAAGTATAAAAATATACAAAATTGAATACCATGAAATTTTGGAATGGAATTATAATTGAAAAAAAAACATTTTGGAAAATAAAGAGAGAAAAAGTAACAAAAGTTTTGAAATTTTATAAAGTATTATTGTTACCAAAGATTAATATGTAACTGTAATGT